TTTTGACTTATGGTTTCAGAGATTTGGTCCATGTTTGACCACTCCACTGTTCTGGGTTAGAGGTAAGTCAGAACATCTTGGCAGAAGGATGTCGTGGTAGAAAGCTGCTCGGCTCATGTCAGCCAGGAAGAAGAGAGAGGTTAGGGCACAGAGGACAAAACATAATCTCAAAAGGCACGTCCTCAGTGACCTGTTTCCTCTAGCCACACCCTAGTTGCCCACAGTTAACCTACTATGTTAGTCCTTTTAAATTATTAATCTATCAAATAGATTAACCCACTGATTAGTTTTCAGCTTTCATAATTGAATCATTTTATCTCTGAACATTCCTGCGTTGTCTCACACATCAGCATTTGGAGAACACCTCATATCTAAACCATAAAGACATCACCAACTGTGGATTCAACATGGAAGTCTGAATCAGTTTTCAGTTGTTAAAAGCAGTACCACCCTTGCTTTTCAATAAAATCTTATTGGGGAGAACAGTGTGAAAAAGATGAGATAAACTGCCATGTTTGAATTGAAGTGAGATTGAGGTGGCCAATATCCCATTACAATTAATTGTCTGCCTAAAAGCATGGTTTTTAAGAATTAATGATACAAAATATTCAAATAATTATTCATACCTTCTCAAAGATGCTGCTGCTTTGGAAACTGAACATTTAGCAGTTTGTGTATCATTTGATACCTAAAAATCTGTGTGTGGTATAAAAAATGTTTGTATGCAAGTAATTTCAAAAGGAATAGTGCTCATTTCCACAACATGTTTTTTAAAAGGGGCAAAAAGAATATATACAAGTATAAAAGTGAAATTTGTTTAAACGTTAAGGGTATAGAAAATGAAAGACTTCCAATTTTCAGACAGGTATTTATTACTTAAAGCAAAATGGTGAAAATTCAAATATCTCACATGGTATAATAAATAGTAAACAGTAACTAAAAATTAGAATCATGAAAAGAAACCAAGAAATGTCATGTCCTTGACACTGTTGAAAATTACATGCAATTTGATTTCTAGAATGTCCTTCAGTTTGAGTTTATGATTTACATACAAAAAGTATTGTGATGGTTAAAATTGCAACTGACTGTGATATGTAAAAATTAAAGTGACATTAAAGTGGTAGAATTTTTTATTTTATCATTCAGATAGCATCACCTTAAGAAATGATAAGTATGGAGCAAAAGATTCATTAAAAGCATTCATTTAATTTTAGTAATCACTAACTATGCTTTTTTCTTTTAATTTTCCCTCCTTTGTCCTACTTTTTTTGGTGGTAGGGTACTGAGGATTGAACTTGGGGGCCCTTGACCACTGAGTCACATCCCCAGCCCCATTGTATGTATATATGTATTATGTATGTATGTATATATGTAGGGTGGTTTTTGTTTGTTTGTTTGTTTGTTTTTGTATTTTATTTACAGACAGGATTTCACTGAGTTGTTTAGTGCCTTGCTTTTGTTGAGGCTGGCTTTGAACTTGCGATCCTCCTGCCTCAGCCTCCTGAGCAGCTGGGATTATAGGCACCACCATATCCAGCCTACTGCATTTTTTGAATAATTTAATAAATTAAATTTTGAAGGAGTCAAATTTTAAAAAGTTTTATTTTAAAAATTAAAAAAAAGTCAAATTTCAAAAAGGACTTTCAGGGACTGGGGTTGTGGCTCAGTGGTAGAGCGCTCACCTAGCATGCGTGAGGCACTAGCTTCAATCCTCAGTACCACATAAAAGTAAAATAAAGATATTGTGTCCACCTAAAGCTAAAAAATAAACATTAAAAAAAATTAAAAAGGACTTTCATGCCCTTGATACTGTTGAAAATTATAGGCAATTTATTTTCTAGAATGTCCCTCAATTTGAGTTTGTCTGATGTTTCTTCATGTTTCGATTCAGGGTAAGTATCTTTTATAGGTACGCCACAGAAGTAATACTCTTTTCTTCTTATTGTGTAATTTCAGGTAGCATATATTTTCAATTTGTTCCTTTACTGATCGTGTGCTCCTCTGTCTCTTGATTAGGCTGGTATTTGTCAGGCTTCTCTGCCGTCAAGTTATTATAGTTGCCCTTTAGTACTCAGGGGAGTTGTTTCCAGGACCCTTCCCAATACCAGAATTCAAGGATGTTCAAGTTATTTACTTCCACACATACTTCCATATTCTTGAAATCACCTAGAGATTGCTATATCTTTTACAATATAAGTGCTATGTAAATAGTTGTAACATTGTACTCTTCAAGGAATAATGACAAGGAAAGCCTATTATGTTCAATATAGATGCAGGTTTTTTCTGAGTATTTTTCAATTCATAGTTGGACATAGAACCCACAGACACAGAAGACCAACTGTACTTAATAGGAGGGAGGAATAGGGTTGGAGGTGTAGCTCAGTAGTAGAGCACCTGCCTAACATGTACAAGGTCCTGGATTCCATCCTCAGCACTGAAAAAAAAGGGGGGGGCGGAAATAGGACTTTATGGGGAGGTTTTTTTATTTTTAATATTTTTTGTTGTTGTAGATGGATATAATACCTTTTTATTTATTTATTTTTATGTGGTGCTGAGTTTTGAACCCAGTGCCTCACACATGCCAGGCAAGTGCTCTACCACTGAGCCATAACCTCAACCCCCATGGGCAGGTATTTTAAGACATTGTAAACATACTGTTCATTACTCAATTTTTACCATGAACTTCAGAGTTCCTGTTTTGTTTCATGGATTATTTTTTTTGTATAATTATTACTATTTTAATCCACAAAATGTCTCACATTTGACCAGTAGGAACCCCTTCATGTTGGCCTCTATATCCTTTTGACAAATCTCTACCATTCTTTCTGTATTTTTTATATTCTGGCAAAAACAACAAGAAAAACACCATAAAAACAAAAACACTTCACATTTATCTTGTGCTTTTCCTGCCCCCGCTCTGGAATTAGTAGCTATTTTTAGATTCCCTTGTTTCTTTTTAATGGAGAATGATTTTTAGCAACTTGCCAGGCTGTCCTTCTATTGAATGACTTTTTTAGCCTCTTGACTTTTCATAGCAGCTCACCCACTTCCCATGGACCTCCTCTTTACCTGCTTAGGCTGTCTTCATATCTTGACTACCTATACCATATGGGTCCCTCTCAACTCTCCTTGGGCTCTGATGGTCTTGGCCAGGTACCCCTTCCTCTGTATGCCTTCTTTACTCTTCTTATGTTTCTCAGGGTCTGATCGTCAACACTGAACCATTCCCCACATAGATCCTTCCTTACCTTACCTTTGGGCTAAGATTCCCCTTACCAGGCCGCTCTGCCATATGGATGCTTTCCTCACCTTGCTTAGGTTCTGATGATTCATGTCAGGATGCCTACCTATAGGAATGGCCTCTTTTCCCCACTCTGGGCCACCACACCCCCTTTTCTCCTTGTTTACACTTATTTTATGCCACCCAGATGCTTGAATTATTTGAGAATAGAAAGGAATAGAGTGAAGAAGAGGGACTTGAGTGATTATTACATGATCTTTGCTCTTTTCTTCCTCATTGTCTTTTAAAAATTAGGAAATACAAATTGTATCAAGTAAACTAAAGCAACTTTATTAAGTACTGTATCAATGTGATAAGATAGGTCTTTGTTGGATTTTTGACTAATTCAGAACTTAGGCTATATGCATCTAGATAAAGTGGGGGGTGATTTAACTATCTTACTTCATATTGTTTTTGTATCAGCTGGCTTTTAAGATTCATTTAAATGCTTTTATATAATAAAAAGCCTGATTTTGGATTGTTCTCTAGAGAGCCCAAGCTGCATTGCAAGCTGTCAGTGCTGTCCAGTCAGGAAACCTGGCCCTTCCTGGAGCTCCTTCCAATGAAGGCACAGTCCTACCTGGACAGAGCCCTGTGCTCCGAATAATAATTGAAAACCTCTTTTATCCCGTTACTCTGGAAGTTCTTCACCAGGTAAGAAGGAGTATTCTTATAGAAAACATACTCAAATGTGATGTCTGAAACTTTTGATATTCATTAAATCTGTGTTCTTCAGATTGTTATTTTGGGTTGATATTTTTGTTTCAGTAATGAGAAAAAGCATCCTATTTCATAAAAGAAATTTGATCAAGCTGAGTACCACAGTAGTACACTTGGGAGGCTGAGGCAGGAGGATACCAAGCTCAAAGCCAATCTCAGTAACTTAGGGAGATCCTATCTCAAAATAAAAAGGTCCTGGGGAATATAGCTCAATGATTAAGTGTCTCTGGATTCAATTCCCAGTACCACAAAGAAGAAAAGAAAAAGAGGTTATTTTAACTAGAGACAATTTTTTATAGTCTTCTATTTCTAACTTGAATACTTGATTTTTAAAAGGTGGGAAAGGGGCTGGATGCAGTGGTGCACACCTGCAATCCCAGTAACTCTAGAGGCTGGACAGGAAGATCATGAGTTCAAAGCCAGCCTCAGCAAAAGCAAGGTGCTTAACAACTCAGTGAGACCCTGTCTCTAAATAAAATACAAAATAGGGCTGGGGATGTGGCTCATTGGTTGAGTGCCCATGAGTTCAATCCCCAGTACCCCCCCACCTCCCAAGAAAAAAAAGGTAGATAAGAGGGACTGGGACAGAGCTCAGTGATAACAGCATATGCTTAACATGATGCGTGAAACCCTTGGTTCAGTCCCCAGCACATAAACAAACAAACAAATAAATCCCAACACTAAAATACAAATGGTAGGCAAGAAATTCAGTTTTGTAAATAGGTACATGTGGAAATGAACAAAGCATAGAATCCTCTAGAAAGCCCAAGTAGTGGTTGTTTTTTAGAAAATAATATCACTATAGAATACAACTAACTTACTTCTATTGAACTCTTTGTACATTTGAATACTCACTTAAAAAAATTCTGAAGGGAGGCTAAGTAATAAATCTTCACATGTTATATGGATGTATCATACTCATCATGTTAAATGCTGACTGATACCAAATGTAACCTTTATATATCCAAATTGTCTTGATAAAAGGCATTCCACCAAATCATGACTAATAATATTTAGAATTTAAGAACAGGAAGGTCACCTATGTACATAATTTTATAATGAATAAAACTGAAAGTCAGATACTTGGGTAATTAAAAATCCGGTTAAGCCAGATGCGGTGGCTCTTGCCTGTAATCCCAGCAGCTCCGGAGGCTGAGGCAGGAGGATCTTAAGTTCAAAGCCAGCTTCAGCAAAAGCGAGGCATTAAGCAATTCATCGAGACATTGTCTTTAAATAAAATAAAAAATAGGGCTTAGGATGTGGCTCAGTGATACAGCGCCCGAGTTCAATCCCTGGTACCAAAAAAAAAAAATCCAATTAAAACTCGAGTCCAGTGTTTTATTTATATATAGAGTTCAATGTTTGTTTTTAAATGTTTGTTATATCTTTAATATTTTATATATACATATCCTCAAAATGTAAGTTATTTGATAAATCTTTGTACACAGATATTTGACATCTAGCTTCAGAATTTGAGTTTTTATCCCCTTTAGCTAACTATTGATTACATTTTATTATACTTATCAACCTATACATTAAAATACTAAAACAAACTTTATGCTTATTTTTATTTAACCTTTTTTATATCTTTGGATTTGTACCATCAAATGAAGGGTTGTAGAGGGTATTGTGCATATGTGTTTTAAGAATTGAAATGCATATATATTCTGTTCTTACATTTTACAAATAAGGAAAGGTGGAGTTGTGTATACTCTTCCATGGTCATTATACCAATTGGTGATAATGCTCAGTCATTTTTCCCAGTACTGTTCCACGCTGTGCATGTAAATATTAAATACACAGGGTGGAACTGTACTGGGAATAGGCTTGCTATGTTCCTTTTGGTAGTTTTCTGAGTATCATTTTCAGAATAAATGCATTTGTGAAACATGTCCTAGAGAGGACAATAGCCATCATTGCTCCCTAGAGGGATTTAATAATTCCTTAAGTGATTGATTTCATGTTTTGGTGAATTTTCTTTTTTTAATTTCTAACCCACAAAGTAACATTGTGCAATCCATCAGCTGTATGTGTTTGTATTTGCTACTAAGATTCTGCAGGCTTGCCGACCTACACTATTTTTAACAGACACTTTTATATCTGTGACTCGAACAGTGAGCCTAATCACTATTACGTGCTCATGTCCTATCATTTCACTTATCATATCCCTGAAAGCAGTAAAACCCCAAATCAAGACCCTCAAATCATGGGTCCTTCAGGTGAAGAGAACTAATCCTGAAAGTTCTCAATAGAAACTGTTGGATCATGACTCTCAGTCTTTTAATTGCAACAGTCCTTCATTTAACTCTTTTTCTAGGGGCCACTGGAATAAAACCAACCCCTTACTAAAGCATTTATTAAGGCCTCCATGTGCAAACACTTTTAAAAAATCTCTTTAATCTCTCTATGCATCACTCTGCTTATTGAACACTGTGGCCTTTTTACCCCCTCTCTTTTTGTCTCCCCTCCCAGCTTAGTCCTTTCTTAGTTGCCTATTTCTTAAGCCTGGGAGACTATTTTACCCATGGTCACTTGGCTATGAATACATCATTCACTCTTCATCTCAGATGTTACCCCCTTGAAGAGTCTTTTTCTAATTACGGTAACTAAGCCCTCTCCCCCCAGCACTCTATTCTATGTTTAGTCAACCAAGAGATAGTATAACATAATAATTAAGGATATAGGGTCTGGAGTTGTTTGGAATCCTGTCTATACCACTAGCTACCTACCTCTACAACCTTGGGTAAGCAATTTGCCTAACTCCTGTTTTCTTTTTGTTTGGTTTCAGGGATTGAATCCAGGGATGCTTAACCACTGAACCACATTCCTAGTTCTTTTTATATTTTATTTTGAGACAGGATCTCTTAAGTTGCTCACTAGGTTGCCAAGGCTGCCTTTGAACTAAAAATTCTCCTTTCTCAGCCTCCTGAGCCTCTGGGATTACAGGTGTGCGCCACTGTGCCAGGCCTGTTTTATTATTTTTATAATGAAGATGAAATTGGTAGTTTTTATACCTTCATTGTGAGGATTACATGAGTTTATATGCTTAAAGCAGGTAGAACAGTGCCTAGTACATATTAATTCCTCTAGAAACATTAGTTATCAGATACTAAAGAATTACAATGTAAGATACTGTTCCTTGCTTTTATGGGTAATAGTAATTTTGTAAATAATGATGTGAAATGTGGGAATATATAAAAGTAAGGAGTTGGTTTTATCTATTATAACTAAGCTAATTGTTTTAGTATTTTATTTGCTGAAAAGTTGGCTTTAGTTAAACTACTGTATAATGTCTGTAGAAGCTAGGGCTCTTCTTTTAGCTCATGGTAAGGGGACTGAGAAACTGAGGTGGGAGAAGTGCTGTATTAGATGAGGGAAGTTAGGGAAGGTTTTTCTTGTATGACATTTAAGCAGAGCCTTTGAACAGAACCTTGAAGAATGTGAGGATTTAAGTTATATATATGTGGAGGAGTAGTGATCCAGTCAGAAAGAATAGCAAGTCCCTAAGATGGAAGTGTGCTTGATATGTTTAGTATCAGGCTGCTAGTGTAGAGAGACTAGGAAAGCTATAGCAATAGAATCAGGGAAAAGGGGTTGGGAGCCAAGCAGCGCAAAGTTTTTATACCATTTTACATTGAATAAAATGGGAAATGATTGGGAGATTTTAAATAGAGCAATGAAAGGTTATCATTTAATGTTTTAACAGAATCACTCATTGTTGTGTTAACCATAATCTGTCATACAGTTCTTGTCATTGTCCATGTTAGATTATGGTGACCTGGGTGAGGGTGTGGCACTAGAACTGGCTGTAATTTGAAGGATATTCTGATGGATTAATTAGATGTGGGTTATAAAGAGAAAGGGAGTAATCAAGAAGGCCTCCCAGATTTGGATCTGAACCTCTGATAAAATGGAGCTACCCTAAACCGTGATAGATTAAGGAAGGAAAAAAATTGGTGCAGGAATTGGAAGTAGAGCAGGAATCAAAATTGGTTTTAGACATATTAAGTTTGAGGTATCTATTAGATTGACACATGAGAAATATCGAGACAGTTTGGAGATATTGCTTAAAGCAGGTAGAACAGTGCCTAGTACATATTAATTCCTCTAGAAACATTAGTTATCAGATACTAAAGAATTACAATGTAACTAATTCTTGAATTACAATGATAACTAATTCTTCAGAGGAAGAATTCCAATCTGGAGTTTGATAATCATCAGTATATGTATAGGTATAAAGCCACTGGACTGGGCAGCATTACCTGGACAGCATTTGTAGGTAGAGAGAAAATTTATCAGCTGATCCCTTATGTAACCTCTCAACCCTGCATACTAAAAAGTTTCTTGATGTACTAAAAAAGTAGCTCACAACAGTATTCTCATATAATCTATCACTTTCAGGCACTATATATAAGGAAATAATTTATGAATTTCAGATAGAGCTCTTTAAGAGAAAGGACTAATCTTTTTTTAAATTTTTTGATATTTATTTTTTAGTTTTCAGTGGACACATCATCTTTTTATTTTTATGTGGTGCTGAGGATCAAACCAGGCGCCACCCACATGCCAGGCGAGCACGCTACTGCTTGAGCCACATCCCCAGCCTAGGACTAATCTTTTTAATTGTAATAAAGATATATAGCTTGAGAAAACAAGTTATCATGGTACTAAATAAAAGAATGAACATTAATGTAAAATAATATTTCTTAATTTTTCCTGTTTTGTTGATTACAAACACTATTATAAACAGATTATGACTCATGGGTTTAATATTAGAGTAAAATATTCTTGTGTGGTATGTGGTGGTACACATCTATAATTCCAGCCTCTTAGGAAGCCAAGACAGAAGAATTTCAAATTCAAGACCAGCGTGGGCAACTTAGTAAGACCCTGTCTCAAAATTAAAAATAAAAATAAAGAAAGGGCTGGAGATG